TTCGTAACAATAACCAAGCCAGAATATTCCATCTGAATCATTTATATCGGCTGATTTTTGACAATCGATGAAATTCAATTGATTAAAAGCATTGGTAATTTTAATAATTTCATCTGATGGGTTATTTTCTTTTTTATCTGACATTTTATATCAAAGAATTAATTTATCGAAAAGTTGAACGTAGTAAGAACATTTGGTCCCAAATCTATTTTAAGTATTGTGCTTATGTAGTACGTATATGTGATTTGTTTCTTTGGCTTTGTATCACCGGCGCAAATAAGTAGTCCGTACATGTTGACGACTATCAATTAAATAGAAAAGTTTAGTACTACCAAAAATCTTAAGTCTGAGAAAAGTCATTTGCTTTAACATAGTACTAGAGATTCAAGTCGATTAAGTCTTTATGGCTCAGCTAAGCCGTTAAACTTTTAATGACTTAGCCGCTTAGCTAATGATTAGTGATTGAAAACTACATAAATTTTCGCCTGATATTTAAATTTTGTTTAGGGTTAACCAATAACTAGCTTACTAAACTTGTCAATTAGAAAATTATACATACATAAAAAGTGTAAAATAATTGATAAAAATTATTTAAAGCACTTACGTGGCTAAATACTGTTGATCAGGAGTATTTTTACTACCATATACAGTCGACTCTCTCTAAATGCAGCTCGCCGGGACCTATAAAATTTTCTTAAGTAAAAAAAAAAAATTCTGCATTTAGAGAGAATCTGCACTTAGAGAATATAAGTTCATTGTAATTTTGTATAGCTTGGGACCAAAAAAAAACCTGCATTTAGAGAGAATTTAATATGACCTGCATTTAGGGAGTGTGCATTTAGAGAGAGATCGACTGTATTCAGACTGGCATGAAAATATAAATTATAAAGACGTAGATATTTCTTTGCCAGATTTTATCGATCCTTCGTCAGATGATAATGCAGCAAAATCAATTTTGCACTTTAGAAAAAATAACGATAGGGTCAGAATTTAAATAAAAAAATAATTTTCGAATTATACGAAACTGCCCTATCACCACGAGTGCTGGTTATTCTTAAAGGATCTTCGGTTGAACCTTATAATTTAATTTCCTAAGCTTTTTAAACATTTGAACAATGATATCTTAGGTATGACTCAGCTTTCTTGATGTTTAGAGATGATTTAGAATTCTAAAGTCAATAAATTTGAAAATGTACTTAGACATTGAATTTCCCTGGTAATTAAAACGGATCCGTATTATTTCACCAACAATCACTTCATAGACATCAATCACATTCTACCGACAATAATTCATCGACAAGTTCATTTTACCGACAGTTTATTTCACCGAAACTCATTTCACCGATAAGTTTTTTTTTATAAATTACACTAACATTAACTCTAATTCTGCCTGACCCTAATTATATTGACCAGAATTACTTTGTCTGTAAAATGAGCTTCGGTGAAATAGACTGTCGGTAAAATGAACTTGTCGGTGAATAATTGTCGGTGAAATGTGGTGTCTATGAAGTGATTGTGGGTGGGGTGTCGCATACTAAATGATCTACTATCATAGTGCAACATGCATAATCAAATTCGATAGTTAGGATTTTTTAATGTGTAAATTGGATGTGTTCGGATATATTCTTGGCATAAAAAAAAAATTTTTTTTTTTTGATTTAACGCATTTATTCTAATGCATTTATTTTAACCCATTTTTATTTATTTTTTATTTTTTTTTAATAACTCTTGCAAAATAGCTTTAGCAACGCTCTCACCAAGCTTTTCTTCTGCCTTTTTAGTTATATTATTCTTTTGCTCTTTTCGAATGGCTTTTAAATCTTCACAATCAAATCTTGTTTCTGGTTTACTTGGACTAGAGAGTAAAAGCCTTGCTTCTTTTACTTCGTCAGCCATATTGGGGTGAGTTTTTATATCATATTTGTTGAACATTCCCTCTAATTGTTGCTGATGAACTATTATTGACCAACCTCTATATTTTACAAAGTCATATAAGAGAGGAAAGTTAGAAAGTTCATGTGAACTGGACGTTGAAAAGATAAGAAACTGCTCTAAAAATTTAGAATCGTTTAGTGCGTTAAGTAAACCAAAGGATAAAATATTTTCTTCTAACTTATCTTTTTCTAGCTGTTCAGTATAAAGAAGCTCTTTTTCAGTTGCTTCAACATTTAATAATCGGGTTAAGAAAACCTTACAAATGCTTCACGCAAAGTCAGGACCATTGCTTCCACCTAAAAGGCATATCATCAAAGGTAAATGAGTCCAGCAACCCATTCATTTTAAAAATCTTTCCTGAGCCTTTTCTAACCCAAGTTTAATATTTTGTATTAAACTTGTAAATTCTTGATTACATAGAGTTGATTGTGCTTCAGTAAGTTCTTCCTCAAAAATAATATATGGATTAATAATTGCTCTTTGTAATTCTCCAAGCCAAAAAAAAATCAGGTAGTTCATGTGCGCGGTACCCAGGAAGAAGACATTTGAATGCGTTATCTTCTAATACTCGAGGTACATTATCGAAACCAGTTAGAAATTCAAAGAATTTTAAATAGAAAAAATTTCCAAACTTTATCATACATTTTACCTGAAGATTAAGGTTTGTGTCATTCATCCATTCAACAAAGACCTTCCATTGTTTAACATATCCTTCAGGCATATTTTTGAATTGATCAAGCTGTTCTGTAAACCAAGCTCCAAAGAGAAGATGTGCACTTAAATTTTCTAGATACTGACCTGCCGTTATTAATTGGTATCACCATTGACTTGAAATAGGTTTTTGGTATTTTCATAAGGTATGTTTTAAAAGTGTCCAATATAATTTTCACATTGTATCTGATTTCATATTTATTGGACATCCTTTATCGCTCTCACCATAACCGTCATGTAGATAATAAACGAGTTGAAGAAGATTATGAGGATGCTTTCGCAAAGATAGTCCTGATACAGAATTTAACTTACTAAAGGTAGTATTTTCAAATACAATTAGAGCTAATTGCAGTGTGTGTAGGCCACATGGAATTCTAAACGAATATGCATTTGTTTGTAAATTAAATTCAACAACGGCACCTGATTTACTTCCTGACATATATGCCGTGTTGTCTGTGAGCCAAAATCTGCACTGCCTTGGGTTCAAATTGTTTTCTTCACATGTTTCTTTAATAACTTTGGCTATAATAACGCTAGTACATTTATCTAAATCAACTATTTTTGCAAGAATAATAGTTGGACGATTTTTATATTCACTCCAAAAAAAAAAACAAACTAAAAACACCTTTTTATCTCCCCTAGTACTTTCGTCGACCATTATACCATATGAAAAAGAAGAAGAAAAAGACTCTCCTAGTCGATTTTGATAAAGTGATATCCTAAAAACTTCTTTATTCCACCGCGAAAGAGTTTTTGTTGAAAGCGAATAATCAGGCGGTTCACCAGTAAAGAAAGCTATTATTTCTTTAATGCATTTGGCTGCTGCTGAGAGAGATATTACTTATATCAGTAGCGAGTTTAACAAATTTAGCTGTGTATACATGATTATTTTCTTTTATCATTTTTTTTGCTGCAATTTGGAACTGACTTTTTGTTATTTTTTTCGAATTTTGAGCAACAGACTGAATTCTGGAAATATATTTCTGCTTTGCTTCTTCTACTCATACTATCTTCATACAGAATGACCTAAGCTCAGTATTCGATTTACTTAATGATTTAGCTAATTTTTTATTTTCATTTTCTAACTTTTTTATTTTATTTTGTAAAGCATATGCAGATGAAGAGTGTTTAAAAAGACCACTCGTCACGAATTCATTTGCTTTATCTTGTAAGTATGATAATAATATTTCCCCTTTAGCTTTACCTTTAGAATATGTTATCATATTAATCAAATACTCAACTCTTAGAATTTGATTATCCGGTAAACGTTTTACTTTATCAATTAGTATATCGAGCTTTTTTTCGATAGTACTTTGTCGTTTGGGGTTGATTAAATCAATATAATTTTGTACTTTTATCAATTCATCTTGGTCCAAAAAATTAAGGATTTCATAAATATTAACGTTTTGGGAATTTGTTGAATTAATATAGGTTTGAACTTTTATTAATTCTTCTTTATCTAAAGAATTAATGATTTCGTAGATGTTGATATCACAACATTATTTTTTAGCTTCATGGTCTTTAGTAACTTTTAGTAGATGTTTTCTTTTATTTGTTGGGTGAGTTATTTTTAACAAAATTGAACAAGATTTAATTACAAAATTTTATAGTTTAAATAAATATCAATTTATTTTCAAATATAATCATAATGAGCTCATAGAAAAATTTTTATCAAAATTTTTATCAATTTATAATTAATTATGTTTGTAATAAAAAATTCTAAATAAATTTACAAGAGTATACAAATTTTATTTCAAAATTATTTTATTTTCTAATTTATAATTCAATATAGTAAAAACTATTGAATCCCACTTATTTTTGAAATGCATCACTTATTTGTTACTTATTTATTTAATATAGTAAAAATGTTATTGAAAATTTCATTTTTATTTTCAAAATGCGTCATTTACAGTATTTTTTAACTATATAAATATATATATATATATTAATGCGATTATATTAAAAATCCAAGTATTTTAACTTTAAATAAGGCTTGGCACATTTATGTGCATATCTCAATACGCAAGTTTGATCACATGATAATTATATACATGTTCACATCTTTAAAACATTATAACTCCCGCTCTAGTAAAGCAAATTTAATTCTGTAAGTTGCGAATGGTGTATAAATAGTGTGGTTTTGAACCTATGTTGCAATATTTAGTATAAACATACAAGTTGAATATGTTTAACTCAAAAATAATGCTGATTTACTATTAAAATTCAATAAATTTAGAATTTTTGTCAAATTAATAAAATGAATTGAAAAATATCTCGACATAGGTTTAAAACTACACTATTTTTATATTATTTGCAAATTACAGAATCAAATTTGCTTTACTAGAAAAGGAGGTATAACATTTTAAAAATACGTAGTTTTTATTATAAAATTACTATAATAAAATTTTTCAATAAATTGATCAAAAATCTTACATAGTGGGCCAATCATATAGTGCTGCACTATGATAGTAAATCATTTAGTATGCGACACCCCAATTGTGGGTGAGTTGAACGGATCCCAATTACAGCTGTTTTCATAAATTCTGGGACCCTAAAAAATTTGCCGAAGTCTATTCGGCCGAATTTGATAAGTTATTGATTTCGGTATTATTAGTGCGTGATTAATATATAAAAAAATTATTGAGTAACTATTATTACAGCACATTGTTCGATCAATATTATATTACATTCGCAACGTTAACTATTTCAACACTTTATTAAAATTTTTTTTTGCCTTATCCAATATGTATGATACAAAAATTTATGCCAAAAACTGTTCTTGCCAATTAACTAAAA